ATTTCTTTGTGTATTTTTAAGTGGCTGCACTAGGGATTTTAGTATATCTTAACTAGTCTTTAATAGTCTACTTGTTTTGCAAACTATCCACCCAACAAGAGATTGATAACCAGAATATAAAAGGAGCTCAGGTTGGGTGCGGTGGCTCACATATGTAATCCCAGCACTTTGGGAGGCCGAGGTGGATGAATTACGAAGTTAGGAGTTCAAGACCAGCCTGGTCAACATGGTAAAACCTCGTCTCTACTAAAAACACACAAAATTAGCTCAGCGTGGTGATGGGCACTTGTAATCTCAGCTACTCAGGAGGCTGAGGCAGGAGAATCGCTTGAACCCAGGAGGCAGAGATTGCAGTGAGCCGAGATTGTGCCACTGCACTCCAGAGTGGATGACAGTGCAAGACTCTGTCTCAATTTTAAAAAAAAGCTCAAGCGACTCAGTAACAACAACAAAAAACCCACAAAATCATCCAGTTTTAAAAGGGGCAAGAGATCTAAATAAACATTTCTCAAAAGGCACACAAATGGACAACAGGTATATAAAATACTCAGTAACACTGATCTTTAAAGAACTGCACAACAGAACCGAGGTAAGATATCCTCTCATCCCAGTTAAAATGGCTTCTGTCAAAAAGATAGGCAGTAATGGAGGCTGGTGATGATGTGGAGAAAGGGGAACCCTCATATACTGTTGGTGGGAATGTAAATTAGTATAGCCACTATGGAAAACTGTCTGGAGTTCCTCAAAAAGCTAAAAGTAGAACTGCCCAATGATTCAGCAGTTCCACTTCTGGGTGTGTATCCAAAATAAAGTCAGTCAATGTAAAAAAGAGATATTTGCACTTTCATATTTATTGCAGTATTATGTATAATAGCCAAAATTTAAAATGGAGTTAAGTATCCATCAGTGGATGAATGGATAAGGAAAATATGGGATATCTATATGGTGGAGTAGTGTTTAGACATAAAAAAGAATGAAATTCCATTATTTGCAATAACATGTTAGAACCTAGAGAACATTATGTTTAATTGGGGTCCCCAGCCCCTAGGCTACAGACTGGTACTGTTTCATGGCCTGTTGGGAACTGGGCTGCACAGCAGGAGGTAAGCAGTGGGCACTTGAGCATTACACCTGAGTTCTGTCTCCTGTCAGATCAGAAGCAGCATTAGATTCTCCTGGGAGCATGAACCCTATTGTGAACTGTATATGCAAGGGATCTAGGTTGTGTACTTCTTATGACAGTCTAATGCCTGATGATTTGAGGTAGAACAGTCTTATCCCAAAATAATCCCCCTACCCCTGGTTCGTGAAAAAACTGTGTTCCATGAAACTGGTCCCTGGCGTCAAAAAGGTTGGGGTCCGCTGTGTTAAGTGATATAAATCAGGCACAGAAAGACACATACTGCATGATCGCACTCGTGGAATCTAAAAAGTTGATGTCATACAAGTAGAGAATAGACTGGTGGTTACCAGAGGCCAGGAAGGGTAGGGGATTGTAGGGGGTGAAGAGAGGTTGATTAATGGTTACAAATACACACAGTTACAAGATATAAGCTAGAAGATATAAGATCTAGTGTTTGGTAGGTCAGTAGGATGACTAGTTTACAATAATCGATTACATATTTTTACACAACTAGAAGAGCATAATTCTAATGTTTCTAGCATAAAGAAAAGACAAATGTTTAAGGTGATGGATATCCCAATTATATTGATATGGGTCTTTACAGATTTTATGAAGGTGTTAAATTATCACAGGTGAACCCCCCAAAATATGTGTATCTATTACCAATTTTTTTTTTTTTGAGATGGAGTTTGGCTCTTGTTACCCAGGCTGGAGTGCAATGGCATGATCTCGGCTCACTGAAACCTCTGCCTCCTGGGTTCAGGCAATTCTCCTGCCTCAGCCTCCTGAGTAGCTGGGATTACAGGCCCACGCCACCATGCCCAGCTATTTTTTGTATTTTTAGTAGAGACAGGGTTTCACCATGTTGACCAGGATGGTCTCGATCTCTTGACCTCGTGATCCACCCGCCTCGGCCTCCCAAAGTGTTGGGATTACAGGCATGAGCCACCGTGCCTGGCCCTATCAATTTTTTTGATTTAAGAAAATTATAAATAGGGCAAAATGTAATCTACTTGTGGTTAATATTGTACCATGTCACATAAAACGTAGAAACCTTGTATTATAGGTGTCTTCAGCCTCCCATCCCTGTTGTCCTTTTGTTACACACATATTAACTATACATTCATTCACACACATTGAAAACCTCGTCAGGCAATATTGCAATATCTGCTTTAAATAGCAGTTAAATAACTGAAGAGGTAAAAATGTGGCCTTCACCTGGTTGCACTGGCCCATGTGTTTAATCCCAGCACTTTGGGAGGCTGAGGCGGGCAGGTGGCCTGAGTTTGAGACCAGCCTCGCCAACATGGTGAAAGCCCGTCTCAACTGAAAATATAAAAATTAGCTTGGCACGGTGTCACTCACCTGTAGTCCCAGCTACTTGGGAGGCTGAGGCAAGAGAATTGCTTGAAAACCCGGAAGGTGGAGGTTGCAGTGAGCTGAGATCATGCCACTGCACTCCAGCCTGGGCAACAGAGTGAGATCCTGTCTCAAAAAAAAAATGTGGCCTTCATATTTATTTTAATATTTACCATTTCTGGTACTCTTCATTCCTAAAGATCCAAGTTTCCCTTTGGTATCATTTTCTCTTCCACTCGAAGAACTTCCATTAGCATTTTTTATAGATCAGGTGTTCTGACAAGAAATTTTCTGTCACCAAAAGTGCTTTTATTTTGCTCTTGTTCCTGAAGGCTACTTTTGCCTAGATGTTGGGTCCAACCTGCAGACCCTGACCCAGCAACGGATGAACAAATGCACTCAGACACAGATATCCAGTGAAAGAGTGGGCTAGGGGTCTGGGCCGCTCACAGACACCAAGAAGGGTGCTATAAGGAGTCAGCAGCTGTGGCCCTCACAAGCTGGCAGTGCAGGCATTTATTCAGTACAGATCTAATGACAAAGGCTTTGAGTCAACACACTTGTGGATAATTAACATGGTTGCTCTCCCTGGAGAGAGCAGTCTTATAGATGATTCAATGCCAGGTTAACTTTTCTGGATCAGTTTCTTTACATCCCCTGGTTATCTAACTTAAGCTTTCAGGCACCAGATAAGAGAATCTGGCTGCCTTCAGCCAAATCCTATTCTTAGGCTTTTGCAAGACCCTCTGGCCTTCCAAGAAGGTTTGCATTCATTTTACAATTTTTCCCACCACCCTGACTGAACAACTACACTTAGGTAGAATATTCCAGGCTGATCGTTTTTTCTTTCAGCATTTGAAACATGTTTCATTGTTTCGGACCCTCCATGTTTCCTGATGAGAAATCTGCAGTTCTTCAAGTCATCATTCTCCTCCATGTAATTTGTTCTTGAGCTGTTTCCAAGATTTTTTTATCTTTGATATTTAGCAGTTTCACAGTAATATGTTTAAGTGTGCTTTTCTTTTAGTTTATCTTGTTTTATATTCACTGACATTCTTAATCTGTAAACTTAAGTATTTGGCCAAATTTAAGTTTTCTGCAGTTGTTTTTTATGCCCCAACTTTTTTTTTTCTCTTTTTTGGACTTCAGTTATGTTTATTTGACCTTTTGTTATTGTCACAGGTTTCTAAGGCTCTGGGTTTTTTTTTTCTTGCTTTCTTAAGTTTTTTTTTTTTTTTTCCCCAAGATCGTGTTTCACTGTATTTCCCATGCTGGTCTTGAACTCCTGGGCTGAAGTGATCCGCCTGCTTTGGCCTCCCAAAGTGCTGGGATTACAGTTTTGAGCCACCACTCCTGGCCCCTCTGATTATTTTTTTTAAAAATATATTCTATTCTTCAGATTAGTTACTATCTTCAAGTTCACTGACTCTTTATTCTGTCATATTCATTCTATTAATGAGTCTATGCATTATTTCCAGTCTTCTTTTTCTCTGCTATAAACTTCTATATTTCTATTTAATATTTTATAACTTTTCATTATCTCTTGGAGGGTGATTATAATAGCTGTTTTAAAATCTTTCTGGTAATTCTAATATCTGAGTCCCCTTGAGGTGGTGTTTATTGGTTGTCTTTTCCATTGAGAATGTATTACGTTTTTATGGTTCTTTGTATGTTGAGTAGTTTGGGGTTGTATCCTGGTCATTTTGAATGTGATGCCACATAACTCTTTGCTCTGTTACAATCTTTTGGAAAATGTTGATGTTTGTTATTTAGTGAGCAGTTAATTTAGGTTCAGGCCTCATGTTTTTTAATTGCTCTCCTATGTTTTGTGAATGGTATTTGCAGTCTATCTATTTCTTAAACTTTGCAATGCTGGTTTGGGTCTATCCTGTGTATGCTCGCTTCAGGGGGTTAGTCTGAGAATTTGTGGGTATGTGAAAAATCAGGGCATCTCTCCAGCTTTCTCCTCTCTGGGATATCTTCCTCATACTTGCCTTCCTCGGTTCTTTTCTGTCATTCTTTTATCCAGAAAGATGGTTAAGTTTTTATTGGACTTTTAGCACCTTTGTTAACTGCATTGCATCTGGGGCCTGCCTCCATGCATAGCAGTGAGAAGGTTTCCCCACACCAGGAAACTCACCCCCATGGGTGTTGCTTCTTCAGGTTTGACTCCCCTTCATAATGTTTGCATTTGCTTACTTTTCAGATTTCAGTTATTTCTGGCACTTTATTCGGTTTATAGCAGTAATTGTTGAGAGATCTGGGCGCTTATGGGGCTTACACTACCATAATGAAACTGGAAATTTCTGTAGTCATTTAAATGGTAGTAAATTGAATGATGTCAGAACAAGTCATAGTTCTTTCCTTATGTGAAATTTAGTGGGTAGAGAGGAAGTTAGGGAGCTTGAAAGAGCCTTAACTGCAAGTATACATTTTCTGATTTCTACATATGTATACGAAAGCATAATCTGGTTTGGGGTCATTAATTTCATCAACTCTTCTATTTGTATTTTTAAAGCATTTGAAGACACTTCGCCACCCTTGCTTGCTAAGATTTTTATCTTGTACTGTGGAAGCAGATGGCATTCATCTTGTCACTGAGCGAGTACAGCCCCTGGAAGTGGCCTTGGACACATTGTCTTCTGCTGAGGTCTGTGCTGGGATCTATGATATATTACTGGCTCTTACCTTCCTTCATGACAGAGTAAGTAACCTGTATAGTCTGCCTCACAGGCTTTGATGTAGACAGGGGCAGGAGGGATGATGTGTGTGGTAATACTTACAAATTATGCTGTGTATGGAAATTGTAAGTTAGTGTTATTATTAGAAAACTTCCTGAGAAAACATAGCATGTTGGAAGGCATAAGAGGTGCTATAGATAGGGGTTTTATTGAATGGACAACTAGTGCTGTGTCCCTGGACAGTTATTTATAGAATCTTAGTTTACTACAGTCTGCCTCTAGTTTTGCATAATTCTTTGCCTAAAAATCGCTGCTGGCATGAGTTATTAAAACAAAGAAAAGGTGTAATATCAGTGCCGCCGTAGACTAAAGTTCCTATTTCTTTTCAAGAGTTGTGTCCCGTTTTAGATTTTGAAGAAAGAAATGACCATTACTTAGGAAGAGGCAGAATATATACACATCTTTTCCTTTCCTACTTGAGTAGTGGGGCCAGTTGAGAGACGCCTCTTAACACTCTGTGGTGTAACCAGTGTGCTCGGCTCTCTGGTGATGTTTCCTATAACTATAATGTGGTGGTTCCCAGGTTTACTTCTGGTCTGTTTCTTAACAGTATTACTGAGCTACTATTTCTTAATGATATTTACATTCTGAAGCATTTAAGTCTTTGGCAGTCCGCCAAGATTAAAAAATACCAGTCACAGATTAGAGACACTTGGACTTGACTCATCTTCATGTATGTTTTTGAATTTTTTCTATTAGACAGATTCTCCAAATAATCATGTTGGATTTATAGTCTCTTAAAAGTATGTTTACAAGTTCCCATGATAACGAGAATTATTAATGCTTCCATGGGGAGAAATACCTTCTTTATTGACAAAAGTGCATACACATGGTTAAAAAGTTAGTATAGTATGTGGGTGCACATAGGAACAAGTAAGTCCCTCTCCCATCCTGGAATCCAGTGCCCTAATTCCTCTCTTCAAAGGCAATGCTGGTGACTCGTGTATTATTCTAGAGGTGTTCTTTGTGCATATAAAACAAATATCTAGTGTGTATACTTCTCTTTTCTCAAATGGATATATACTATACATACTATTCTAAACCTTCCTTTAAAATATATATATATCTTTTGGAGTATTCTCTATAAAAAATATGTACATATTTGATGTATTTGGTAGAATATTTAAAGTGCTCTTTCGGCCAGGCACAGTAGCTCACACCTGTAATCCCAGCACTTTGGGAGGCCGAGGCAGGAGGATTGCCTGAGCTCAGGAGTTTGAGACCAGGCTGGGCAACATGGCAAGACTCCATCTCTACAAAAACATTTTAAAAAATGAGCCAGGCATGGTGGCACATGCCTGTAGTCCCCCTGCTCAGGAGGCTGAGGTGGGAGGATTGCTTGAGTCCAGGAGGTTGAGGCTGCAGTCAACTGTGATCACGCCACTGCATTCCAGCCTGAGCAACAGAGAACCTGTAATACATACATACATACATACATACATACATACATACATAATAACTTTAACTTAACATACTCTTTGTCTACTGAAATGAGTTTTGGTTTGGGGAAAAAAACTTAAATACCTGAGTCCTATTCTTATTTTCTCCCTTCCTCTTATTTGACTGTACTATTTTTATAGTTTTAAAATTGGCTCTTTTGTGGTCTGTGGGATATTTCTGGTGGTCCTTATCATTCCATTTTCCTCTTCTTCAGGCAGAATTTTTTTAAATGCCTACTGACAAGATTACAGGTGAAGTGGATCTGGGTTCGTGATAGAATGTAGGTGAGAAAGAATCTAGAGAAGAAAATTAATAAAATAACCTATGTGAGCAAAGATATATTTTATCTTTAAAGGCATTGGAAGCAAATAATATAGGCCATAAAGACTTGTAAATTTATGTTAAAGAACATGTGTATTTCTTGACTGTCATAGAAATGGGAGATGACTGTGTGCACTGGCTTTAATGTGTTTATTAACCTGCCACACCAGGCAGCGGGAGATAACAGAAGCCCTTCCATTCCATTTTTCCTTTTATCTAACTTCATTCAATTTGTTGTTTCTTAAAGTCATAGTTCCATTTATTATGCCACACATGGGAAGGCTTGTCATACTTTTTTTGGTGATTAGTATTTAGTTTTTTAAAATAAAGATTGTGGGAGTTGGAGAAAAACATTTTTAAAAATAAATTACTGTTTCAGATCTTTCAGTGGCACTCTTCCTTTTGTTGTTTTTTTTTTTTTCCCTAGGGGCACCTAACACACAATAATGTCTGTTTATCATCTGTGTTTGTGAGTGAAGATGGGCACTGGAAGTTAGGAGGAATGGAAACTGTTTGTAAAGTTTCTCAGGCCACGCCAGAGGTAAGCCAGGGGCAGCCCCTCTTCCTTATGTGGTTTTTAATAGTGTCGTCGTGGTATGTGGTTCTTGCCTAGGCACTTTCCATCAGTGTTAGCTTGGTCTTAGATTTGGAGACTTGACTTTTTTGTCAGTGCCCTCGTTTATAGACTTGCAGCATTTTGTTCCTCAGAGGCAGTAGGGGCCATGTATCCTTTCTCCTTATTTTATAGATGGGGAACCTGAGACTGAGAGAGAGGTAAGATGTTTTGTTCAGATATTTTAGTTAAATGCCCCTCCTCTCTGCCCCATAGTACCCTGTACTTACTTTGATCCTACCGCTTGATAGTGAAATTACCTTTATGGAACTGTCTTGCATTCTAGTGGTTGGGCTTCTGAAGGGTGTGAGTCTCTTATCTTTATACCTGTACCTAGAATGGTGCCTGGCATATGCTAGGTATTCGGAAGATGTTCACTGAACAATTGTCCGAGTTGCCCAAATTCATACATGGTATCTTAGTAGCTGGATTTGGGACCTGTGCATCGTAACTGCTAGTGGGCTGTGTTGCTGATTTGGTACTCCTTACGCTTTTGTCTGAGAGTTCTGCATGTTTCCCTCCCAGGTTTTTGAACCTTTCTGTTTTCTCTTTTGTTCTGAACACACAAAATGGTGTGTTCTTTTCACCATTTTGTATGTTGCCGCTGCACTCACTCTTTCTTAAAGAAAAAATATTTTTTAAAGTTTCCATCTTAATATCCCTATGGAAATAGTGCCTCACTGTTGACTTACTGGTTCAGTCTGATTTCCCCTATTCTCTTTTGTGCGGCCTCCACAGTTAACCTGGGCCTTGTCTAACGTGCACCTTCATGGGTTCTTGCTCAGTTCAAACACTGCTCTACCAAAAGACGTCTCTCCATTTATTCTGCCCACGTTGATCACTTTCTTCCCTGAATTTGCCTTTTGTCTACTTTGTATAATGGCATGTAATCCTTTCTGCACTACTTATTCCAAATTCTTTGCCATAGCATATAAGGCCCTTCACAATCTTTCTCCAGCCTACCTCCAGCCTCCCTTCAGCCTCATTTACCATTTAGGCTTTTTCGGGGTAGGGGGGAATGGGATTTCCCTCTGTTACCAGGCTGGAGTGCAGTGGTGTGATCTTGGCTCACTGCAACCTCTGCCTCCCAGGCTCAAGCAATCTTCCGACCTCAGGCTTCCGAGTAGCTGGGACCACAGGCACACACCACTACACCTGGTTAATTTTTTGTATTTTTGGTAGAGATGGGGTTTTGCCATGTGGCCCAGGCTGGTCTCAAATTCCTGACCTCAAATGATCTGCCCACTTGAGCCTCCCAAAGTGCTGGGATTATAGATGTGAGGCACTGCTCCTGGCCTCACTCAAGAGTTCTTCAGCTACAGTCTGGCTACATCTTGTTCCATGTAGCTCAGCTGTATTCTCACATATGCCCTCTTCCTTCACACTCTTCAGGCCATTCTGTTGCTGGAATGCCTTTCTTCCCCTTAGCTTCTGGAAGAAAATGTAAACTCATCTAAGATATGTCTTCAATCTCCTTTGTGTGATTCCTTCCCCTAGGTATTCCCCTACCCAAGAAAATTAGTCACCCCGGTGCTTCCAGGGCACTTAGTTTACATTCTAGGTTGTGAGCACCTGCTTGGGGCAGAAACTTTATTGCCTTCATTTTGTATTCCTAGTGCCCTAAATGATGTTCAGGACATGTAAGATCTTCAAAAATAATCTTTGAAACTAGCAAATTAACATGCTTATTCTGTGGATGTTGGTTTTTTGTCAACTTTCTAATCTTGTATGGTAGCAAGACTTAGGATTCATTTGATTTAGTGAGATTAATGACAGATTTGTTCTGGGCTAGAAAAGCCTTCTTATTGTTAATATCTAAGCAGGAAGAGAAAGAAGTGTTCTAATTTCCATATAAGGAAGTCAGATGCACAGATGCCTCTGAACAGCAGAGCGTGTCTGTCACACCAAATGAAGGGGAGAGGAAAAGGAACTACCATTTATTACTGTGCCTTGTGCTGTGCCAGGTACTGTATTTGCACTTTTAAAATTAGGAGCATTTTACATTGTGTATCTAGTATGTGGCATTGATATGAAAGTTTAATTGCTGCTGTTTGCATTGCTCATAGCTTATATAATCTGATGTAAGAGATTAGTTCACCCAACATATGTATGAATCATTTTCTTTATTTCTCTGTCTAGTTTCTGAGGAGTATTCAGTCAGTAAGAGACCCAGCATCTATCCCTCCTGAAGAGATGGTAAGATGATATACTTCACATGTAATGAAGATGCCGCCTGTGTAACTGAATATGAAGTTTTTAAAAACTTTCCTCTGCTTATTCCTTCCTTTACTGAGTTATAGATGGCCTCATAATTCCTCTGGCCTTAAAACCTTCTAAGATTAATCTTACCACCACAGCCAGGGAGCCAGCTTAAATTTTTTTGGTCACATAGACACCTATGATGTTGTTTAGAGGTAGAGATACCTCAGTGTGAACAGAGTGTTATACCCATTTCATGATAAGTAGTTGTGTTAGTCTGTTTTCATGCTGCTGATGAAGAAATATCCAAGACTGAGCAATTTACAAAAGAAAGAGGTTTATTGGACTTACAGTTCCGTGTGGCTGGGGAGGCCTCACAATCATGGTGGAAGGTGAAAGGCACATCTCACATGGTGATAGACAAGAGAAGAGAGCTTGTGCAGAGAAACTCCCTTTTTTAAAACCATCAGATCTTGTGAGACTTATTCACTATTACCAGAACAGAGCAGGAGAGACCAACCTCCATAATTCAGTCACCTCCCACCAGGTTCCTCTCCACAACATGTAGGAATTGTGAGAGTTACAATTCAAGATGAGAGTCACAGCCAAACCATATCATCCCCACCCCCAGCCCCTCCCAAATCTTATGTACTCACATTTCGAAACCAATCATATCTTCCCAACAGTCCCCCAAAGTTTTCATTCATTTCAACATTAACTCAAAAGTCCACAGTCCAGTGTCTCATCTGAGACAAGGCAAGTCCCTTCCACCTCTGCATTTGTAAAATAAAAAGCAAGTTAGGTACTTCCTAGATACAGTGGCAGTACAGGCATTGGGTAAATACAGCTATTCCAAATGGGAGACATTGGCCATAAAAAGGGCTACAGGCCCCATGCAAGTCTGAAATCCAGTGGGGCTCCAATCTTAAAGCTCCAAAATGATCTCCTTTGACTCCATGTCTTGAATCCTGATCATGCTGATGTAAGAGGTGGGTTCCCATGGTCTTGGGCAGCCCTGCCCCTGTGGCTCTGCAGGGTACAGTCTCACTCCTGACTGCTTTCACAGGCTGGTGTTGAAGTGTCTGCAGCTTTTTCAGGCACACTGTGCAAGCTGTCAGTGGATCTACCATTCTGGGTTCTGGAGATGATGGCCCTCTTCTCACAGATCCACCAGGCAATGCCCCAGTAGGGACTCTGTGTCAGGGCTCCAGCCTCACATTCTCTTTCACACTGCCCTAGCAGAGGCTGTCCATGGGGACCCTGCCCCTGCAACAGACTTCTTCCTGGGCATCCAGGCATTTCCATACATCTTCTGAACTGTAGGTGGAGGTACCCAAACCCCAATTCTTGACTTCCGTGCACTTGCAGGCTCAGTACCACATGGAAGCTGCCAAGGGTTGGGGCTTGTACCCACTGAAGCCACATCCTGAGCTCTACATTGGCCCCTTTCAGCCATAGCTGGAGCAGCTGAGATGCAGGGTACCAAGTTCCTAGACTGCACACAACACAGGGACTCTGGGCCTGTCCCTGGCCCATGAAATCACTTTTTCCTCTTAGGCCTCTGGGCCTGTGATGGGAGGGGCTGCTGTGAAGACCTCTGACATGCCCTGGAGACATTTTCCCCATTGTCTTGGGGATTAACCTTTGGCTCCTCATTACTTATGCAAACTTCTGCAGCCAGTTTGAATTTCATCTGAGATTTTCTTTTCTACTGCATTGTCAGGCTGCAAACTTCCCAAATTTTTATGCTGTTTTCCTTTGAAAATGGAATGCTTTTAATAGCACCCAAGTCACCTCTTGAATGCTTTGCTGCTTAGAAGTTTCTTCCACCAGATACCCTAAATCATTTCTCTCAAGTTCAAAGTCCCACAGGTCTCCAGGGCAGGAGCAAAATGGCACCAGTCTCTGCTAAAACATAACAAGAGTCACCTTTGCTCCACTTTACAAGTTCCTTGTCTCCATCTGAGACCACTTCAGTTTGGACTTTATTGTTCATGTCACTCGCAACATTTTTGTCAAAGTCATTCAACAAGTCTCTAGAAAGTTCCAAACTTTCCCACATTTTTCTATCTTCTTCTGAACCCTCCAAACTGTCCCAGCCTCTGCCTTTACCCAGTTCCAAAGTTGCTTCCACATTTTCAGGTATCTTTTCAGCAATGTCCTACTCTACTGGTACCAATTTAATTGTATTAGCCTGTTTTCATGCTGCTGATAAAGACACACCCAAGACTGGGCAATTTACAAAAGAAAGAGGTTTATTAGACTTACAGTTTCACAATCATGGCAGAAGGCAAAAGGCATTCTCACATAGCAGCAGACAGGAGAAGCGAGCCTATGCAGGGAAACTCCCCTTTTTAAAACCATCAGATCTTGTGAGGCTCATTCACTGTCATAGTTCAATCACCTCCCACTGGTTCTTCCCAGGACATGTGGGAATTTTGGGAGTTAGAATTTAAGATGAGACTTGGGTGGGGACATAGCCATACCATATCAGTAGTTGTACTTTGCAGGAATCCATAATAATTGTGGAAGCAGCAACCCTTGTCCTTTCTGGTATCTCTAGTTGCCCATTAGTTAGGATTTCAAGATGCACAGAAGAATCATTATTAACATCAGAGTGCTGGCAAAGAAAGATTCAGTTTACCAATAAATTCAAAAGCAGATGCTCCCTCTATGAATGTGTTCTTACAGCCACTATACATAAACATTAATCCCCAAAGATATATTTAGTGTGCTTTACAGGAAATATGAACCCCACTATAAACTTAAGTATATTAAAGACCTAAGATTTGAAATAAATCAGATATATCCAAATCAGTATTATTATGTATATATTCTAGTGTTTTTAAAATTGGTGATTTGTGGATTTTAAGTCAATTTAGGGGGTTCTGACCAACATTTTAAAAACATAGAATAAAAGGAAATGTCATTGGGCATCTTAGATAGTAAGGCTAAGCATTGTTTTATGAAACTTATTTTTCCATTATGTGTGCATTTACTCATGTGTGTTTACTGGTTCATGATCTAAGACACATTTTTTACCATGGGTTGCAGTGAAAATGCAGTGGCTTTTCAAAAGCCACTGACATGTGCCATCCTCTGACCTTTTTAAAAATTTTTGCCCATTTTAATGTTTTAAAATGTTTGACAAATTCTATTCACTTAAGAATCTGTAAATTCATGTGTGATATTCTGAAGTTAGATTTGAATATAATGCAAACATGGGAGAAGGTGCTTCAGAAAAAACTAGAAATAGCTTATAAGGCAGATCCTCTAGTTTTAATCGTCTTTACTAATTTTAGTCTCCAGAATTCACAACTCTCCCAGAGTGTGATGGACATGCCCGGGATGCCTTTTCATTTGGAATATTGGTGGAAAGTTTGCTCACAATCTTAAATGAACAGGGTGAGTTGGAGTTATACTACTGCATCTATAGAATAAGTAGGAAAGTCATCCACGGCCTATTCTGTGTGGAATTCTAAGGACTACAGTCTTTGATCATAGTAAGGGATGTGTTGCTTACCAAGTAACTTTTTAGGGCAGATATTAAAAGCATTAAGGAAAGAAGCTTTGGTTTTCATTAGTTTGCATGGTGAAAAGAATTTTAAGTAGGAAGCACTTTGAACTATGGCTGTCAGTATCATGTGTGATTATCTTATTTATTGGAAATAATACTTAAACGGTCTAAATGTAACTCTGTTCCTTATTGACCCAGCTAGTAAGTACATAACTGTCATTAATGATTTAGATGTAATAATCTGAATGGGGTAAAATTCAAAATTTTTTGTTAAATTGGACTTAACATTTCTTTCTGTCTATTCTTTCAAAGCTCATTTGATTTATTTTCTTATTACTGTAATTTACTCTGCACTTTTTTCTTTCAGTGCCTCTTAAAGCTCAGGCTACTAAAGACATTGTTTTCTCCTCTCTTCTGTGTTCTCTAACTGCATGCTTGGCAGCCTGCTTCACTCTCCTGTGCCCACTTTGGGACTTTAATTTTCCACTCATTAAGTTTGGCACATGAAGCCTGTGTCACAGTAGGCCCCTTACTGGCCTACATCTCACATGGCTCAAGCTTTGTGCCAGTTCTAATGCAGTTTGTTCTGCCAGGCTTATGGGGTGTTCTGATGTTATAAGTACCATTCAGCTGTCAGCTCTAAATTGTCCCATCCTAAATATTTGAGAATTAAACCCTAAGGCCCAAAGGCATCCATTGTGTATAATGAACTATTCCATGTATCTAGGATGGTAGCAATTATTTACTATCCTTGGAAGAATTGTGAATTTAATCATTCATATAACTGTTCTGTGGATGAGAAACCCCTGTTGAGAAAGGCCCTACCACTGTTAACCCTTCTTCTTTGGGCCTGAGCTGGGTTAAACAGATAATCAGGAAATGAGGGTATAAAAGGGAATGGGTGGGGCTTGCTGGGGGTGGCACAACTTTTTACACCTGCCAAGGAGTTTGGCCTAAGGCGAGCAGGAAGCTATTTAGCAACAGCCAGGGCTTTGTTTGTTTGGGCTTTTACAGGTTGGTTTTTGCTCTCGGCAGTCTCCAGCTATAGAGGTCCTGAAAAGAGGGAGAAGGCATTGGAAACTAACTGTAGCTCTGGATTTCAGTTTCAGCGGATGTTCTCTCCAGCTTTCAACAGACCTTGCACTCAACTTTGCTGAATCCCATTCCAAAATGTCGGCCAGCGCTCTGCACCTTACTATCTCATGACTTCTTCAGGTGAGGGCATCTGGTGTGGTGACGCTGGCTGTTTCCCACCGCTGCTTGCTCTCATATCTTGGATAAATGCCAGTGGGGAGATTTTGGAGGACCAAATAATGCAGTTTCTGTTGTTAATTATTAGGAGAGATTGAATCATGTCCACAGGAGAAAATAGGGGAAGAAATTGGGTTGTCAGTTTCCTGTTACAGATAGGAAATTTTGGCAATCCTTGATTGTCTTCAAGGCTTGGATGTAGAAATTGTAGCAAGATTTATTAAGGGTTCTAATAGTGAAGAAGCTGTTAGACACACTGGTTCACAGTTGTAAGTTAATCGGAAAAGTTATTAAACTTTTAGCCTTTCCTTTCTGCTGCCATTATATTATTGATATGAGTTTATTCATCATTTTTTCTCATGGGGATGGGAAATTAGTTCATTTTCTTTGTCTAGTACTATGTGATGGAAGAGCAAAGAAGTCAGTTTAGAGGGAAGGACAGAATATAACTTAATACTTTATTAGATTCAGAGATGTTTTTGAACTCCTCTTTAAAGTTAGTTTTAATTATGTGTCCTTCATTTTTTTATTTCCATGACTGCAGAACTTCTGCACAGGTTAGTTCCATATTCATGACTTTTATTAGCAAAGCCAACCTTATGTTAGTTTTAAAACTACCCTTATGTGTTTGCGTTTAGAGCCTGGGAAAAACCAGAGCAAAGGGAAGGCTAATATTCCCAAGTGGGGAAAATTAACTCTAGTATAGAACTAGGGGCAGGTGGGGGAAGGGTAATATTATTAAATAAGTAGCATTTGTAGTTACTGGGATTATATTGTCATTTATACTTCAAAGAAACTATTCAAAACTTGTCTTTTTTTAAGAATTAAAAAAAAAAATTTTTTTCTTTTTTTTTGAGATGGAATTTTGCTCTTGTTGCCCAGGCTGGAGTGTAATGGTGCAATCTCGGCTCACTACAACCTCCGCCTCCCAGGTTCAAGCAATTCTCCTGCCTCAGCTTCCCGAGTAGTTGGGATTACAGGCATGTGACACCATGCCTGGCTAATTTTTTGTATTTTTAGTAGAGATCAGTTTTCTTCATGTTGGTCTGGCTGATCTTGAACTCCTGATCTCAGGTGATACACCCTCTTTGGCACAGCCTTTGGCCACCGCACCCAGCCAAAAATTTGTGTTTTTAATTGACAAGTAAAAATTTTATATATTTACTATTATGAGAGTCTTTCCAAGGTATTTCTATGCCCTTTTGGATGATTCTTAGAAATATTTTATTTCCCTTGATGAAAGTCTCTACCAAGAACAATCCTTTATGATAACTAGATTCTCTGATCACTATATGTAAAATGAGTTATTTATTAAGAATTGTATTGTAAATTGAGAGGGGAGAAGAAAGCTAAAAACACACAGACCCCACCTGCCAAAATCCCACTGTTAATGTGAGGAGAAAACCCAGCAGAGACAACAGAAGAAGCCGAGATAGCATCCGTTACAGAAGCAGCTGAACCAGTTTGATTGATTAGATTTCAGTTAAGACGTCTTTGCTGCTGAACCAAGGGGAAGTGGAAGATAAGTATAAACATAAGATGTGGAGACCTAGGTGGTATCTCTGCTTATTTGGCCTCTGAATAGGAGCATCTGGGGTCAACAGTCTCATATACGGTAGGGTGTGAGCTGAGCAGTGCACAGCCTTTGGAATTCTCTGGCAGCCCTGTAGGAAGCTGACTGCTCCACTCACACTCATCCCTGCCTGGCTGAAAGAATGAGCAAGTAACTTACAGCAGGAGAAATGAGACGATCCACTTTCCACAACCTCTTTAATAGTTTTAATTTCATCAAAGGAGACTTGAGAGTCACTCGTATTTTGTAATGGTAATGGCATTTCTCCCAGGATATTTCATTTAACAACATCCTATTACAACCAACAGTTTGGAGGATTTTTTCTGACTTTTTAAACCATAAAGCATGTTAGCATGTGTGTGTTTAAGCTTGTATCCTCTTCACAGATCTCTTTGATGTTAAAATACTAGATTACTCTGTAGAGGCCTTAGTATTTGTCTCATAAGCTACTTAGTTGTAATAGAATCTTTTAAATGGCAAAGGAGAATGTTTCTTTGTTGAAAATTATATTGATGTAGTCTGTGGTTATGGCCTCAACATTTAACATGCCTTCTCTAACCTGTTCTGCTGAATTCCTTCTCTTTTGGCATTTAGAAATGATTTTCTGGAAGTTGTGAATTTCTTGAAAAGTTTAACATTGAAGAGTGAAGAGGAAAAAACGGAATTCTTTAAGTAAGTACAGAAAGTTAAGAACTTAAATTCAATAACTTGGATTAAGTCTATGTAATCACTTTAGGTATTCTAGAGAAGATGAGTCAGACATTTCACATTTGCTGAACATTTCCTGTGTGTCAGGCTTTCTCCTAGGCCCTGCCATAGATATTTCTGGTGAAGAAAACAGGTACCCAGATTGATAATCCTTAAATGGGGGTGGGGGTACAGTAGTGGAGCTTTTGGAAGGAGTCCTGAAAACAGAGCAGGAAGAGGTCCTTAAAGAAAAGATGTTCTAGGCAGAGGGGCAACATGAACAAATGCACAAAGAAAAGACCTAGTATGACCTGTGCAGGAACTGGCAAGAAGTTGAGTTCTGCTGGAGGATAAATTTCCAAACAAGGACAGGCAGAAGGTAGCCCTTGCATGTGGAAGTGAGGAGTGCTGACATTATTTGTAAACAGGGGACTTCAGGCATTGAAGCCATCAAAGAGGTGGAAGCCAGGCTGGGAAACAGATTAATGTCCTTTTAGGTGGATCACTTTGTTCTCTACTGAGTGGGGAGGCTTAACTCATAAGACTTGGATTAGTTAGTAGACTGTGGTAGTCTAAGGCAGTAGATGTGAAGCCACACATAAAGGCATTAATGGCTCCAGTGAAGAAGACAGTAAGATAAAGATTTAAAAGATAAAGCTGAGAAGCCTTAGTGATTATCACCAAATGAAATAGAGAATACTGGAGGAGAGGACCTAATATGCAAGGAAAATTATGACTTCAGTGTTGGATGTGTTGGTTCACTGAAGAAGCAAATGCAGTCAAGGAAGGATTTTTTAAGGGTGGAAGAGACCCGAGCATATTAATAGACGAAGGAATGGGGCTAGCAGAAGAATGGAGGGAGCAGTTGAAGCTGTAGTCAAGTTGGGGGAACTGTTGGTGCATTGTCCTGGAAGAAAGGATTGCTGGGGGCAGTGGTAGGGTAGGGGTAGCCTTAAGTAAGAGGAGGCCCTGGGATCCTTGATAACTAGAAGGGAGGTGGGAATGACTATAGATGTAAACCTGTTTTGCTGATAGCAGTGTAGGGGTTTGAAGGTGATAATGCATTCACTTGTTTCCTAATAAAGTAGGAGGCAAGGATATCTGCTAAGGGTGATTGTATAATGGAGTAATATTACCATGAATATCTAATATCTGTATTTCTTAACAAAGTGCTTTTATATATGTTGTTTTAATTTATGAGGTTAGTGACAAAAGCCTGTATTTTGTTAGTATGGAAACTTTCTATATCGTTTAAATTTGAGAAAGCATCTTATATTATTTAGAAAGCCTGTCTTATTGGGGTAAAAGGAGGGCACTTTTGCTATTAGTAAGGGGATAATTTGTTGGAATCATTTCCTGGTGTGGATTGGAGGTGTGCTGACTAGCTGGCTTTGTCTCACACTTTCTACATTTTTTTTTTTTTGAGAGGGAAGCTCACTTTGTCACCCAGGCTAGAATGCAGTGACATGATCTCAGCTCACTGCACCCTCTGCTTACCAGGTTCAAGTGATTGAACCTCAGCCTCCCATGCCTCAGCCCCCTGAGTAGCTGGGATTACAGGTGTCTGCTACCATACCTGGCTAATTTTTGTACTTTTAGTAGAGATAGGGTTTCGCCATGTTGGCCAGGCTGGTCTCAAACTCCTGACCTTAAGTGATCCACTTGCCTCAGCCGCGCAGAGTGCTGGTATTACAGGCGTGAGCCACTGCACCCTGCCATGCTTTTTCCTTAAGTACTTGGGGACCAATCTGTTCATCTTCCCTGTCTCCATTTCAAAATGTATTACCTTGAGAGAAGTGAGAGAGAGGCTGTGTGGGGGCTAAACTGTAAAAGTAAGCTGATACAGTGTCATGACCAGTTTCCTGGGCTTTCCTTTTTTGTCCTCAGATTTCTGCTGGACAGAGTCAGCTGCTTGTCAGAGGAATTGATAGCTTCAAGGTTGGTGCCTCTTCTGCTTAATCAGTTGGTGTTTGCAGAGCCAGTGGCTGTTAAGAGTTTTCTTCCTCATCTGCTTGGCCCCAAAAAAGGTGAATTCTTTTTCAAAGTATTATTGCTAATTAAGGAGTTTGGTGATTATTCGTCCATATTTAAGCAGGATGAGATTACTTTGTGGTGTAGTTAATGTTGGTTCTAAAAATGGAGAACAATTATTGGCCCCTGATGTGATAACTGTAATTCATACCTGGGTACCAGAGTCCACAGGATAAATATGAAGCATCTTCCTAGAGAGTCCAGTTTACTATAGTAAGTTATTACATCTTACTAGAATCTGAAATATACGTATGAAGTTTTAAAGTAAGCCATACATCTTCAAAGAACTTGTACATTTACCATAAATCGTTTAGGCCTGTGCCCCCTAACTTACGAAAAGCAACGCATTTATTTTCTGTTTTCAGTGAAAAGCACTGAGATCATTTTACTTCTTGGGGCTTCAGGTTTGTTTCTGAATGTGAAATAAGGTTATTGCTTTGGAATTTTACAATTTTATAGGATTATAGATGATAACACAACAGATTAGAGAGTATAGTATCAATATAACACTAGAATTTTAAGTTACACAGAATCCTGCTTTCAGAATTTCTTTTCTAAAAGGGATCTCATCCAAGAAAGCATTGTGACAGTTTAGAATTTCCTCATATTTCTATTTTGATATCATTCCCTTTTGCCATGAGTTTTTCTTTATAGCCTTTTTATCCTATTCCTCAGTAGGCCTTAAACAGGGGTGTGCCTCTGAATCACCTGTGCTGCTTTTTAAAAATTTGTCTGTTTGCCTGATCCACTGGTTCTAGAACAGAGCCAGGACATAGGTATACATATATTTTTAAAGTTCTCAAATAATTCTTATGCATACCTGCCTGATAACCACTACCGTAAATACTGGAAAGAGGACTATCCAGCATCAAAATCCCACTGTAGCATTTAACACCTGGATTTGCAGGTAAAACTATAACAACAGTATCAATATGTCACAAATCTAGTGTATGAAAATCCTCACTGATTAAACATAAATTTATAAAAAGTTACCAACTCAGAATGCTATTAAAATACAAGCTTTGTTGTACACTAAGTGTGATCTCTAGTATTTCAAAAACTCTTCAAGATAGAGTATACTTAACATAATTAAGCCTTAAGTAATTTTGGGTCAAGAAAATAACTTTCCTTTGGTTTGGAGCATTCGAATTTAGAAGAGTACTTAGAATATGTGTAGTTTTGGGCTCAGTGTATGAATTATGCTTAATACTCTTCTCACTGAAATGAAAACTTGTTTTTTCATCTGTAATGAAAATTTGTTTTCATCTGTAACCTTTGATTTTTCGGGTAGATCACGCGCAGGGAGAAACTCCTTGCTTGCTCTCACCAGCCCTGTTCCAGTCACGGGTAATCCCTGTGCTTCTCCAGTTGTTCGAAGTTCATGAAGAGCATGTGCGGATGGTGCTGCTGTCTCACATCGAGGCCTATGTGGAGCACTTCACTCAGGAGCAGCTGAAGAAAGTCATCTTGCCACAGGTCAGAGGCCAGGTTTGTGGTGGGGTAGACATAGAACCTGAAGAAAGAGTGCTGAAAGGAAGGAGGAGGTTTGGAGGTATTCAGATGATCGCTTAGAAAGCCTTGAGGCAGCAGTTCAGTGTAAAAGCCTATGGAATACAAAGGGCTGAAATCGATTAAACCGTCATATTTGGTCTTAACCTGGGAGAAACTGTAATTGTTTGCTAGTTTTGAGGGGGGCAAGAATAAATAAGAATGTATGGAGCACTTCGTGAGCATAAAATGTAATCCATAATTAAATTATTATAAAACAATTAGAACAGAGAGGAACATGAGATGATTAGTATCAGTGGCTTTCAGCCTGTTGTTATCAGCCACTAGGGAACCTTGTTTATGATTTGCCTACCAAAGGGTTTCAAGTTTGTATTAGTTTCTTAAGTGCCATAACAAATTATCACAAACTGCATAGCCTAAAGCAGGAGAAATTTATTCTCTCTTAGTTCTGGAGACCAGAATTCTAAAACCAGGTTGTCACCAGGACCTGCTTTGTCTGAAAGCTGTAGGATATGAAAGGGACTCCTTACAAGCTTCTCGTAGCTCCCAGCAGTCCCCTTGGTATTTCTTGGCTTGTGGCTGTATTATTCCAGTCTCTGCCTTTGTTGTCACATGGCCTTCTCACCTCCTTGTCTGTCTTTACATGGCATTCTTAGAGACACCAGTCATTGAATTTATCGTCTACCTTAACCCAGTATGACCTCATCTAAAGGTCATATTCTGCATGGACTTACTTTTAAAGGGATACTGTTCAACCTAGTTTGAGGTTTAAAAAAAATTGTTTTAAAAGACTCTAATCACATGGTATCTTTCAAATAATTTGTTTTCCTGTGAGATTAACATTTTCCCTGCTTTCAAGGAGCTAATAAGTGGGACATGTTTCAGTCATCTGTTCATAAACTACCCCAAAACTTAGTGCCTTAAACCAACAATCATTAATTCTCATAATTTTTTTGATTGACTGGACTCAGCTGGAGGTTCTGTCCCACATGTCAGCTGAGGCTTCAGTCATCTGGGGCCCGACAAGATCTGACACATCCAGAATGTCTCCTTGGTACCTTGGAAGGGGTGGCTAAGCTGGGCCTTTGTCTCCATGAACTGTCAGGAAGCATAGGGGCTTCTATCCCCCATGTGACATTTCCACATGATTTCTCTAGCAAGGTAGGTGGACTTAAATGGCTGGTCAGGGCTTTAAAAAAAAGGTGGTGGGGAGGGGAGCAGGCGGGGCAAGAAGCCTTCTTAAAATGTAGGTTGGGAACTGACAGTCATTTTTACCTCGTTCTCTCAAGAGTTGCAAAAGTCAGACCAGGTTCACTGCGGGATGGGTTTACTCAAGGGCATGGGTACTGGAAGTGCAATTCACTGGGGGCTGACTTTAAGGTCACTATGTTGTACTGCCTGCAACATAGCACTTCGTATTTACATCTCCAGCAGTAACTGTTACCCTGTGTATAGTTGTGTACCTATCCTCTTCATTTAGAAGAGGAATGAAGCAGTCTAACTCTGAAATGGAGGTGTCATTATGGGTTCCAGAATTGAACTGAGGTCAAAGAAAGAGTAAATGTTGAGCATGTGGAAGACAATGAAAACTCTCATTACTTAGGAAACTATTTCCCCTAAAGAAGAGGGGACCAGTTTGTGTGTGCTAGAAAGTTCACTTTGGTAGCAGTGTGGAAGAGAGGCCACAGAAAGGGAGATAAGCTACGAAGCTGTTAGAATAGTTTAAGAGATGACAAAGGCTGGGGAAAGTGTGACAGTGGTTATAGGAGAGGGACACAGAAGGGGTAGTACTCAGTTTCTCACCAGATGGAAGAGGTGCTGAGGATGACAGATTTTGGCTTGGGTGAATTGCTGTTTTATGATCATATTCAGTGGGTAGAACTCTAATCATATGTAAAAGAAACATGCTTTAGTTTACAAGCTAGAGTACAGTGGCTCTTCATAGGCATGATCCCACTACCAGTCAGCACAGGAGCTGATCCATTTCTGCTCCATTTCTGACCTGGGCTGGTTTACCTCTCTTTAGGCAACCTGGTGGTCCCCAGCTCCTGGGAGGTCACCATATTGATGCTGAACTTAATGCAGACACCCAATCGGCATAGCACACTACAGTGCGTAACTCCTGGACTCAAGTGATCAACCTGCCTTCTGAGTAGGGCTACAGGCATGTGTCACTCTGCCTGGCATACTGTCCTCATTTTCAGCAAACCAACATAAACTGGAAATAAAAATTATAGTTTATATTACTGGACAAGAGATCATGATGGGCTCACTTTGCGGGACAGGTGTTACATGCATCATTTACAAAGAAAATTTTAAGGTCTTACCCTTAAAAAGAGCTGAAAAGAGGAACATGGAAGGGAAGATAACTGTTAGTGCCCTAGATGAGTTCTGAATGTGCTCTGTAAAACACTACCAATACATGAACTGTTTATTACAGTTGTGATGTGAGTACAGATATGAAGACTTAACATTTAAAATCTTTTGAAGCAATGTGACAGTAAATTTGTTTCCAACATTCGGTTTTTAAATTTTGTTTCGATTGTATTTTTAAAAAATATACTAAGTCCATGATGGATTGGGAAGGGAAGATGTTGGTCTTTTACCACAGGTAGTTTGAGAGCCACTGACCTGGAACACATATCTAAGGTAAGTAATGTAGTTTATCTGAATAAGCATAATCTGTTTGCAGCCCAACTGCTTATTTACAAGGGAAGAAAGAGATAGGCATTGCGGTTGTCAACTCTTACTACCTTATTTGCTCCTAGGTTTTGCTGGGTCTACGTGATACTAGCGATTCCATTGTGGCAATTACTCTTCATAGCCTAGCAGTGCTGGTCTCTCTACTTGGACCAGAGGTAGTTGTGGGAGGAGAACGAACCAAGATCTTCAAACGCACTGCCCCGAGTTTTACTAAAAATATTGACCTTTCTCTAGAAGGTAAGAATTATTAAAAGGTCTAGCTTTTTGTGTATGTGTTGTTTTTAGATTTTTAATATCATATAACTAATGTAGGAGGGTCATATTCAAATGATACAAAGAAGTATAAGTTCATTTCCTTTTCTAAACTTCTAGGGTAGTGTAACTGATTTTCAGTGGGAATCCTTTCATACTTCTAAGCTTGCAGAAAGACACCGATGTATGTTTACACATGCATTGCATGTGTAGTCATATACCATGTAAAGATGCTTTGGTCAACAGAGGACCTTATGAGAGACACATCTATACCATGGTGGTCCCGTGACATTATAATGGAGCTGAAAAATTGCTATTGGCAGTTGATGATGTAGCTTTAGTGGAATGCATTAGGCACGTGTTAGTGGTGATGCTGGTGTAAACAAACCTAGTGTGCTGCCAGTCATATAAAAGTATAGTGCATATAATTGTGTACAGTACGTAATACTTGGTAATGATAAACGACTATGTAACTAGTTTGTATATTTACTATACTTTTAATCATTCGTGTACTCCTGTTTACAAAAAAAAAAGTTAGTGAAATAGCCTCAAGGAGGTCCTTCAGGGGGTATTCCAGAAGGCGTTCTTATCAGAGGACATGACAGCTCCCTGCAGACCTTCCAGTAGAATAAGCTGTGGAGGGCAAAGACCAGTGGTATTGATGATCTTGACCCTGTGTCAGCCTAGGCTAATGTGTGTGATTGTGTCATAGCTTTTACAAAAAACTTCCAAAGTAAAAGTAAGTAAATAATTTTAAAAACCGAAAAAGCTCACAGAATAAGAATATAAAGAAAATATTTTGGTACAATTGTACAGTATGTTTTAAGCATAGTGTTATTATAAGTCAGTCAAAAACATTTAAAAGTTTATAAAGTAGAAAAGTTATAGTAAACTAAGGGATTTTTTTTTCATGAACTTAGTGTAGCCTTAGTGTTTATAAAGTATATAGTAGGGTACAGTAATGTCCTAGGCCTTCATTTTCATTCACTGGTAACTCAGAGCAACTTCTAGTCCTATAAACGCCGTTCATAGTAAATACCCTATACAGGTGTACCATGTATCATTTTTACTCTACCTTTTCTATGTTTAGATACACAAATAATTACTACTGTGTTATAATTACCTACAGTATTCAGTACAGTAACATGCTGTATCAATCAGTTTATAGCCTAGGTGTGTAGTAGGCTATACCATCTATGATGTTCTTACAAGGACAAAATCACCTGAGATCCATTTTTCAGAACATATCCCCATTGTTAAGTGATGCATATTGGTGTAGGATTTTTGTTTAAATGGTAAGAAAATGCCACGCACAAATCTATAATTTGTTTTCCTTCAATAGCATATCAGAGACCTGTCTCTAGGTTAATATACAGAAGTCTAACTTCTTACTCTTTTTGAATGTTACCTAACATTTCATTGAATACAATTCATTCAGTGATTTCTTTAATCATGGATACTGCATCTATTTCTGGATTTTTAATCACTACAAACAGTGCTGCAATAAATGTCTTTATACATGTATCTTTCCAGTTGGTCCTCCATATTTGCAGGTTCTGCATCTGCAGATTCAGCCAACTGTGGATCAAAAATACTCAGAAAAGAAACACAAACTAAAGGTATTATAAGTAATGCAGAAATGATTTAAAGTATTATGGGATGATATACATAGTTTATATTTAAATACTACTTTATTTTCTTTAAGAGACTTGAGCATCTGGAGATACTGTCAGAAGTAAACTTGCTGGGCCAAAGGATATATTTTAAATTTAGTAGATATTGTCAGCTTACAAAAAGGTTGCATCCATTCTTATTAACACTAGATGTTTAAGTTCTTGTGACTTTTGTTGGCCTATGGGGTAAAAAGCTGTTGACTGATACTTAAGGAAATCCTTATTTCTGGTATGTTCCCAGTGGATGATACCTGGGAGGTAGCAGTTTAGAATTTTGTATCAACAATGTCATTACTTCTTTGTATAGCCTTCAATAACACAATGACCTTGTTATGTAATTCTGGATCTCTAACTCAGTTCTCATTGATAGTTGCTAACATGGAAAAACTTAGTAGAAAAGAGTTATCAGATAGGCTTTTCTCTAATTTTGATAAAAGAATTCTTAAAGCAACACTGGCTTCCTGAAGTTTTGAAGAGAGTTTACCTCTTCCTTGGTGCTAATGAAATCAGTGTTGTGGCTGTAAAGAGCTTGAAAAGGGTGATGTAAAGGCTGTGGTCTCATTTTCAGCTATGAAAGGGAAACAGGAAATAAGTCTGCCTGAAAGAGAGGTGGAGAACATGGTTCAGAGAAGAGGACATCGGATAAGACATTGGGTGGGACTTCAGGGAAGTTAGTGGCACAAAGAAGAGAGTGGAGGGCTTGTAGAGGCCAGGGATTAGAAGGCTGGGTGAGGAGGGGAGATATGGTGCTGGAGACCTAATTGTAAGAGTCTAATTGTGGAGACCCATTCCCCACATCCTCTTTTTTTTTTTTTGCGGGGGTGTGGGTGGGGGGGGGGACAAAGTTTTATTAGAATCTTTTTGACCAATGGCCAATTTTTAAGTATAAACTTTCTGGTAAACTGTTAAAGACGTTTCTTGAAACACTTTTTTTCCCCAGTTGAGGGTAAAATGTCCATACCATAAATTTATTAAATATTTTAAATGTATAATTTTGTGGTATTAAGTATATTTATATTCTTGTCCTCATCCTCTTCAACATTTATTCTTTAAAGAAAAGTAGAATCAATTGGTTTTAAATCACCACCAATATGTTTTGAAGGGCTATAACTTTTTAACTAGGTGCCCCAAAGGTTGTATCTATGTAATATTTGGATCCTTTCTAGCCATCACCATGACATGGAGTGGACACAGCCTGTTGTTAAATACCTCTAGGACAGGCAGTCTATTCCATAATGGGTGTATGTCTTCAAATGTTTGAAGATGTTCTCTCCTGCCTTTTATCCTTTATCTGTGTGAAAATACACTTAATTATGCTTACCAACCATGTGATAGATCAAGAAGCAATTTACTGTCCCTTTCATGTTTTGGAGTTTTTATTTACCTTCAGATTCTCCTGTGCGTGTCGTCTGCAGCCAGCACAGTCAAATTTCGCCAATCTTGGAGAACCCCTTCTCTAGCATATTCCCTAAATGTTTCTTTTCTGGCAACATGCCCATCAACAAGAAGCACATACAGCAAGATTACTACAATACTCTTTTACAGACAGGTAGAAATATTAAATTTATATAGCTTTTCCATTGGTTGGATGAATGTTTTCCTGAGACTAATAAGCTTAAATTCTGAGAATTAAGAGCATTTGGGGAGAGACTGATTTGTTTGTAATTATGTAGTCAGCTTTGGTCTCATCTTGTTTCTCCAGACTTGTATATATACCTACCTCTTAAGTGGTGAGAAGAGCAGATTGACATTAGTTGAGTTCTTTTTTGCACTGACACTTTGAGACTTTTGATGCCTTAGTGCAGCATCCTCCAAATTGTACCAAGAATGATAGTTTTGAAATATGTTAATGGGCATATGGTTAAAAAAAAAAAAGTTCTGTGGCTAAGTTTGGGAAAATGAGAGCAAAGTCATTAACAAATTGCAGAGTTTCTCAGTGCCTTAACTACTACACTAAGGGAATGCTTAAAGTGAGGATAAGCTGGGTTAGGCAAACTTATTTGAGCATAGAACACTTTTTCAGGCATATGTAATTAACATCCTAAGGATAACATTGCCTGGCATAGAGCATTTCTTTATGTACAGATAATTATGCTAACATACTATATGTGTGGATATTTAATAAGGAATAGATGCTCCAATTACTTATATGCTTCCATGGAGCTAATAATATAAGTATTATATAGTAAGTATTTGGATAACATGTGACATCATTGATGTTGAGTAATGTTCTCCTGGGATCTCTTTTGTTAGTGTGCCTGGATATTTCGTAGTAATTAGATCTATACTACTACACTTCCTTAATGCTATCTTTCCCCTAAATGTAGTTCTTGCCCTTAACCAGTATTTTATGAGAATAATTCTTATCCCCACAGGCAATCCGTTTTCTCAGCCTATTAAATTTCCCATAAATGGACTCTCAGATGTAAAAAATTCTTCAGAGGACAGTGAAAATTTCCCATCAAGTTCTAAAAAGTCAGAGGAGTGGCCTGACTGGAGCGAGCCTGAGGAGCCTGAAAATCAAACTGTCAACATACAGATTTGGCCTAGAGAACCATGTGATGCTGTCAAGTCCCAGTGCACTACCTTGGATATGGAGGAGTTGTCTTGGGATGACTGTGAGCCTGGCAGTTTAGATACTAAAGTAAACCCAGGAGCTGGAATCACTGCTACAAAACCTGTTACCTCAGGGAAGCAGAAGCCCATTCCTGCTTTGCTTCCACTCACTGAAGAGTCTACGACTTGGCAATCAAGGCTGTCCCAAAAGACTAGTCTTGTACAAAGCAGGGATGACCCAGACCAAATCAAGCCACCAAAAGTGTCATCATCACAAGAAAGGCCCCTTAAGATTTCATCAGAACTTGGTTTAGGAGAGGAATTTACCATTCAAGTGAAAAAGAAGCCAGTAAAAGATCCTGAGATGGACTGGTTTGCTGATATGATCCCCGAAATTAAGCCTTCTGCTGCTTTTCTTATATTACCTGAATTGAGGACAGAAATGGTCTCTAACAAGGATGATGTGTCCCCAGTGATGCAGTTTTCCTCAAAATTTGCAGCAGCAGAAATTGCTGAGGTGAGTACTTTTTCTGAAGTAAATGGTGCTACTAGCTTTAGGATTTCCCTCATAGGTCCTAGTTGCTGTATCCCATTTATAACCAACAACATGCTGTTTTCCCAATCAAGTCAAGCACAAAATCAGTTTCTCTCATTGGTATCTTTCCTTCCCCAGAATAATGTAGTAGTGCTTAGGCTGTTTGTTTAATGCTCTATTATAACCTTTTTATTTGGGAAAAAAGATTAAAACAAGGATATGGTGTTATACACACCTATTTTTACTGGATTTTATGGTTCTTAAAAAGCTATTTTCCAATGCTATGGTTTCGTAATCCTACTTTTCAACTTTCTGTTAGAGCTAATTAGTACAAGGCAGTGTTTCTGGCACCAAAAATACATTTTTAATTCCTGCATTTCCAAATTTGCATATGATGTGTTTCAGTGGGTTCTTGGTGTGCTTTATTTTGTTGCAGGGAGAGGCTGAAGGCTGGGAAGAAGGGGAGCTGAACTGGGAAGATAACAACTGGTGACAATGGATGTGAGTTAAACTTTAGGGAAAGGGATTCCCTTTTTAAAAAAATACCTCAAAAGCAGGCGTTGGGGACAAGAAAACCCCAAAGTGGCCTACTTTTCCCATCCCAGGAGCTCTTTATCCAGTCTGTGCCAACTGAGACTGACTGAGTGCTGGCTAAAAGCCCTGGGTGGTGAGGCTTACTGTACTGGTTTCCAGGAGGGAAGAGCCTTTGTGCGTTTGACTGAGGACAGTTGCTGAGGAGAGGTTGAATATACTGCTTTTTCCAGGACAATTCTGGAAGTAAAGAAAATAGAAGAATTCAAGCTGTTTAGCTTAATTTTGTGACATTTCTTTAACATAAGTGTAAGCTCTATTATGAAATTCAACTTAAAAAAAATTAGCTATAAATTATATAAATGATTTTAAATGCTGAGGTTTCCTTAGGCAGCTTATTTATTTGTTTACAGTTATACTATCTGAGTGAATGGTCCTTTGTGGATCTGGGCAGTTCTCGACTGTTCTACATGTATTACATTGTACCAAAGTTCTTAATAAGAATATCCTCCACAATCCTGTTCTCTAAATGTCAAATAAAGATTATTTTCACTAGATTGAACTTTATAAAATTTGTTTTATATCTGTTAGAAAATGTACACACATAAGTATTTTCAGTTGACAAAGCATCAAATCCATTTCTGCCTAGTGATAATATGGTCCAGTCCATTCAGGTTTCACCCTACAGTATATAACGTTTTAACTTATCCATCCTTTCTTGTAGCACCTCCATTTCCATTAAAAGCCAGGCTGGAGCAGGACCCTTTTGTAGTAATGACTCGGTTGCTTCCAAGGCCCCTGCTATTGTGTGTAGCGCTGACCTGTACTCTTCTTCCCAGGGGAACTCGTGACGAGCTTTTTTTGCATATGGCTGGAAAGTAAGTAAAACATAAGTAATATCATAATAGCCATTCTATAAAGAACCTTCCTTTTGGACTAAAGCTTATAGAACAAATTTTAAAATTGCAAAAAAGCTTAAGTGCAAGTTATTCGCTCACAAAGGCAGGAGAGTGCAACCCGAAACCCCTACACAGTCATCTAGAAAAATATGTAGAGGCATTTTGTTTTATCATAGCAATTCAGAGTACTACTACCAATGTATTAGTTTGTATATGGTGCACAATAAGTAACCTGTCCCAAAGGGCTCCCACTGAGAAGTGCTGTGTAGGCCAAAGTTTTCAAACTTAGGGTTAAGGCAAGACATCTTTTACCATTATGGTCTTCCTAAGGAAGGTAACAATAAATTCATGAGGACTTAACTTACATGTCTCAAAAACAAGTTAATAAACGTATTTTCTTTTTGACTTAAACTCACCAGAACGTTGTTCTTCATGAATTACTATTCAGAATATCAAAGGATATTTTGCATATCCTTATTAGTGTCAAATTTCTGCCTTTTTAATAGGTAGATGTGATTTTTAGATACTGTCAAAAATTATTAGGAGGCTGATCTGATTAATGAGGCAAGAGATCAAACTAAACATTTAGGAAGGTAAGTTTCTTTCATTTTCTGCGGTGGTTCAGTAACAACTGCATTTATAGCACCATTGGTGTAATATTTAACTTCCCTTAAAGTTATTACCAATAATTGAGACATATTGAAAGAATATATTTGGTATTCCTTTTTTTTTTTTTGTTTTTTGTAGTACCACTTCTATGAAGAAATGTGATTCTTAAAAGCAGCTACCAGAAAACAGAATTTTACATGTCTAGATCTATTTAATTTGAAATTCAACACAAGGCTGGAAACCAAACTGGTTTGTTTCATCAGTAAGTAATAAGGGCAGAATTGGCCTTGTTAAAGTTTGACCCATATTGAAATCATCCCATACCTGTAAAGATGACCTCTTTGCTTCGTCTACAGTCACATTAGCACAGGGTTCCCAGAAAATACCTTTTTCCTGTTTCACACGTTCCACTTTGGCAGATTCAGTTTCATCTACAAACCCAGTCTGTCAGAGACCGTGAAAAACCAAGCAAATACTAACATGTTAGCACTCTACTAGATATCAAATGGTGTTCATGTTTAGAAAATGAAATGCCCAAGTAACCTGTGTAACTTCCCAGTGTTCAACCATTCTAGGCAAATTCTGTAAGTCACATGGACTAATCTGTAAATCCTCTTAGTATAATCTGGATTAAGTTACTATGTGCTTACCTACAGAAAAGTTATAGAGTCATCTTTGCAGGAAAAAAAATGACAGTTTGCTAACCTTTACTATATATAAGCTAAGAAACTGGCAATAAGAGTGTACACACGCATACTTAAAATCCAGCTTAGATGTGATACAAGTAGGCTAAATGTAGTAGCTCATGCCTGTAATCCCAGGACTCTGGTGGGAGGAATGCTTGAGCCCAGGAGTTTGAGGCTATGATCACACCACCATACTCCAGCCTGGGCAACAGAGTCAAACTCTGTCCAAAAAATAAGTGAGACCATCTGACCGTAAAAAATATATATAACGTGTATACATGTGTATATCATTACATGCAATATATAAAATTTACTTTCTGCTGGTATTCTAAATTTGTGGTTTAACAGTTCCATTAGTATTTCAACTAACTATTATTTCCTCACACTATTACTATATAAGTTTCAAAGTATGCATAGACATAGGAACCCTGTGAGTCAAAATTTTGGTTCTAAGTAGAAAAATAGCTCTTGGCTGCAACCAGAATAAAAAAGCCATGCTTAAGCTATAACCAAAATACGGTAGTAAACATCCTCTCAGGTCTATCTGAGAGGCATACTTAATTATGTAATCAAGTATATTTAATTATGATTAGTAGTAGCTTGGGGATCCTCATTATTCATCTCACTGCCTGGATAATCAGTGTTACTATACCCCAAACTACAAGCAGAGTAACTCCAAGTGTATTTTTTGTTTGTGACAGAGTCTCGCTCTGTCGCCCAGGCTCAAGTGCAGTGGTGTGATCTTGGCTCACTGCAACCTTTGCCTCCTGGGGTTCAAGTGATTCTCCTGGCAGCCTCCTGAGTAGCTGGGACTGCAGGCGTGAGCTCCACCATGCCCAGCTAATTTTTGTATTTATAGTAGAGATGGGGTTTCACCATGTTGGCCAGGCTGGTCTTGAACACCAGACCTTGTAATGTACCTACCATGGCCTCCCCAAAGTGCTGGAATTAACAGGCTTGAGCCACCATGCATAGCCCCAAATGATTTTTACTTCTAGGGCCTCAGTGGCTTAATAAAAATCTGTCAGCAATCTGCTGAGCACTGGGAAGTTTAAGAAAATACTCAGGTTGCTTACAGTGACATAATTAAAAAAAAAAAGATAATAGACAAAGAATAAAACATAAGCCATGTAAATAAAATACCTTCTCCAGAAAGGATACAACTTTGTTCTTAATTTCTTCAGAACTGAGACATTGTGGAACCATCTCTTCATGATTTGTTCCCTATTAAAAAATTGATGAACAAGACCAATTTTAGCATATTTCAACCACTTATAAAGACAAATAGTTGAGTTTTATGAGCTACCTTAACCAAAAATTCATTTTAAAACGAGTCCCAGAGGATCCTCAAAGGTGTCAAACTCATGATTTCTTCAGGGTCCCTTAGGATAATATAAAATTAACTTCTGTACAAGTGTTGTAAGCTTTAATCACTTTTGCTGAGTCATCCCTAATGCTTCTGGACTCCCTTATGATCATAGGCATGACTACACAGCAAATGCAACTTACAAGTTTAGGTTCATCAGTGTAAACCTTTTGACTGATAGTACAAAATGAAATGTATTGTCATTTGACCCAAAAATACTATATCTGCTGGAAGACAGTGCCTGTGTCAGTAGACCTGCTGTGTATGCCTGTTCTGATTCTTGCTTATTCAGAGAACCTAGGAAATTCACTTCATTTCTCTCAGCCTCATTTTGAGAATGAGAAGCAGTTCAATAAATGTTTTGGGATTATGCTGGAATATTTAAAAAAACTAAAATGGTTTGAAAGTCATTGTGAAAAATCAGTTTTTTAATTACCTCAGCAAACTGAGTAAATGCCTCCAAGGTATGTTGTTCTAGCAGCCAACTCCTGTCAGCTAGCAGTAAGGCAAAAATACAGGACAGGTTGGGCAGAATTCTGTCCTAAAAGAACCAAGCCTTATTATAATAAAGAAAATCCACAATAGATAATCATAAAATAGCCATACATTCAGTAAGCCCAGTGTTATCAAGTTTCCATAATCCTGTCCCAGGGGACACATATTAAAACATGTTAGGTGATGTCACTCTTTTACTCAGATCCTTCCAGTAGCTTCCCATTTCCCTCAGACTGAAAGCCAAAGTCCTTCCATGGTCTGCAAAGTCGTGCTAGTTGTGTTAGCTATACTTGCTTCCCTGAATGTAAGAGGTATGCTCCCATCTCCAAGCCTTTGCACTTCAGGCTTCTACTTGCATGTCACCTTGGTGAGGACTTCACAGACTATATCCCATTTCAAACTGGACCCCCACATTCATATTCCCTATCTTCCTTCCCTGCTTAATTTTTCTCCATAGCACTCACCACCATTTAATATACTATACATTATCACCATGCTGTTATTGTCTATTGCCTCTAAATAGGCAACAGTGGGGATTTATTAGTTTGGTTCATTACTGAATTGCCAGTGATCAAAACAGCACGAGATACAGCAAAACCTCAATTATCTTTCCTGAATGGATAAATCAATCAATCTCATCTGATAGCTTTAAATGCCTTCTACGTTCTGATGAATTTCAGGTCCTGACCCTCACTCCTGGGAATATAAAAGGCACTGCAATTTCTGCTTATAAAACATCTGTTTCATCATTTCTAGGCCTGTGCATAGTCCATAGTGGTACCCATATAAAGCAGCATCTTAGAATACATTTCATGGTAAAAAGACCGCTCAGATGCAGGTGTCTTTGGATAGTTTTGTCAAAAGTTGAAGCTGTCAACATTCTGTTTACCTCATATAATCCCAGCACTTTGGGAGGCCGAGGCGGGTGGATCACGAGGTCAAGAGATCGAGACCATCCTGGCCAACATGGTGAAACCCCATCTCTACTAAAAATACAAAAAATTAGCTGGGCATGGCAGCACGTGCCTGTAATCCCAACTACTCAGGAGGCTGAGGCAGGAGAATTGCCTGAACCCAGGAGGCGGAGGTTGCGGTGAGCCGAGATCGCGCCATTGCACTCCTGCCTGGGTAACGAGCGAAACTCCGTCTCAAAAATAAAATATATATATATTTAACCTTAACATGATGGAGACAGATGGGATACTGTTGTTAATTTGTGAACAAATAAGAGAGCCCCTTAGAAATTGGTTAAGTTTTTGGTTACAAAATGTTTAATCAGCATGTTCTGAGATACCGTCTATCATGTGTTTGCTCTGATTACGTAAGAAAGTTCTCAGTGAACTCTTTATAGTCTGTCCCTTGGAGGTTAAAGTGTCAATTATCTAGACTAATTATTAAATTTTGACTATAGTAATAACTCTCCATTTATGAAGCTCTCTTTGCTGTAATTTCTTTAAAATTACTGTACTGGCCTGGTAATACACATTTACTGAGGTTTTAAAATTTCCGGTGATGTGTATTGCCAGGCCAGTGCAGTACAATTTTATAAATACTCCATTTGTCAGCCATATATCTTTGCAACATTTTCAAAAATACTGTCTTTCTTATAGGTTCACAGATTAAAAAAATAATAACTTGAATAAATTACCAAATTTCCTAATTACGTGTTTTTCCCTATAAGACAAATATGTTTTCTACCCTCAGGAACTGTGTATTACTAGAACCCAAATGGAATGAGAATTTAAAATGGTAGACTACAGCCAACTAACAAATTACCTTTTTATCAACATGTATTTTTTTAAAGGAAAACTTAAAATGAGTTCTAAATTATAAATATTTTATAATCTGTCTCAAAAATAGTTTTTTCCAACTTTCATTGTCAGTAATTGCAAAATTTCAGAAATTAAAAACCTAAAAATCCCTTAATAATACAACAACAGAGTTAAGAAATATTACCTGGATAGCTTCAGGTATAAAAAGTTTTCCTAGAGAAGATACAAAATCCAACATTGCCAAACGAACATAATCAGGAGGCTCTAATTTAAGTAGTGAGGTTTGCAAAGTTACTACCTACAGAGGTGAAGACCAAAGAACAGTTATAAATAGTATCAGTATTTTGTATAGACACAATAATTGCCTAGATTTGGAAGGAAATGTGGGGAGGGAAAACAAAACTAAACCCAGAAAAAACAAACACACCACAACACCTGAGCTTCACTGGTAGAATTTAAATAAGACAATTGTAAGAACAATTATTATAGCATTATTCTTACCATACCCTCCTGCCTCCAACCACTGTAAAAAATAAAAGTATACATGTTCCTGAAAAACTTTTAAGTAATATTTTGTACAGACACACTTTATTTTATCGTGCTTTGATTTATTGCACCTTGAAGATACTGCATTCTTTTTTACAAATATAAGGTGTGTGACAACTCCGCACTGAACAAGTCTACCTGTACTGTTTTTGCAATAGTATGTGCTCACTTGATGTCTCTGTCCCAGATTGGTAATTCTTGCAATATTTCAACTTGTTCATTAGGATTTTTATTATGGTGATATGTGATCTTTGATGTTATTGTAATTGTTTTGGGACACCATAAACTGTGCCAATATAAGATGGCAAATACAATAAATTGTGTGTTCTCACTGTTCTATCAACAGGTAGGTCGCCAGGCTCTCCCCCTCTCCTTGGGCCTCCCTGTCCCCTGAGAC